AATTTGGGAGTGGAGTCCGTGGGATTCTTTAAATACAAGATCATGTCATCTGCAAAGAGGGAGAGTTTTACTTCAGCTTTCCCTATTTGGATCCCCTTTATGTTTCCTTCTTGTCTTATTGTTGTAGCTAGGCATTCTACTACTAAAGTGGAGAGAGTGGACATCCTTGTCTCGTTCCTGAGTTTAGAGGAAATGGCTTTAGTTCACCATTAAGTATAATGCTGGCTGTAGGTTTGTCATATTCAGGCTTTATTATATTAAGGAATGTTCCCTGGATTCCTAGTTTTTCCAGAACCTTCATCATAAAGGGATGTTGGATCTTGTCAAATGCTTTTTCTGCATCTATTGAGATAACCATGTGGTTCTTATTCTTGCTCTTGTTGATGTGATGAATTACATTAATTGATTTGCATATATTGAACCAGCCTTGTATCCCTGAAATGAATCGTGTTGGATCGTGGTGTATGATTTTTTTTGATGAATTGTTGAAGTCAATTGGCCAAAATTTTGTTGAGAAGTTTTGCATGGATGTTCATCAAAGAAATGGGCCTATAGTTCTCTTTCTTTGATGAGTTCCCGCCTAGTTTTGGAATGAGGGTTATGATGGCTTCATAGAAAGAATAACATGAGGGGGCTGGGAAGGTGGCTCTGTGGTAGAGCACTTGCCTTGCATGCATGAGGCCCTGGGTTCGATTCCTCAGCACCACATAAGCAGAAAAAAAGCCGGAAGTGGCACTGTGTCTCAAGTGGTAGAATGCTAATCTTGAGCTGAAGAGCTCAGGGATGGCCCCCAGACCCAGAATTCAGGCCCCACGGCCAACAAAAAAAAAAAAGAAAGAAAGAAAAAAAGAATAACATGAGTTATTTTTTAAAGCATGAACTATATAGGACTGTTTTATGAACTAAATGTTAAATAGCCCAGGTGATGTGAGCAAAGTAAGCGCTAAATACAATAATTATCATTACTAGCTAATATCTCTAGTGCAAAGTGCATGGAAGAAACTATTATGATGCATTTAAAAGCACTTAGCTTCAGGAGGCTGAGATCTGAGGATCACGGTTCAAAGCCAGCCCAGGCAAGAAAGTCCGTGAGACACTTAACCACCAATTAACCACCAGAAAACCAGAAGTAGTCCTGAGGCTCAAGTGGTAGAGCACTAGCCTTGAGCTAAAGAGTTGAGGGCCCAGAGTTCAAGCCCCATGACCAAAAAAAAAAAAGCAGTTAGCAAAGTAGAAAGACTTAGAAAAACTATTTTCTCTAATACCATAATAAAATCAGCCATCACCAGGCGCCGGTGGCTCATGCCTGTAATCCTAGCTATTCAGGAGGCTGAGATCTGAGGATCACAGTTCAAAGCCAGTCCAGGCAGGAAAGTCTGTAAGACTCTTATTTCCAATTAACCACCAGAAAACTGGAAGTGGCTCTGTGGCTCAACTGGTAGAGTGCTCACCTTGAGCTGAAGAGCTGAGGGACAATGCACAGGCCCAGAGGTACCACAACCGACAACAACAACAAAAAAAAAAAAGGTCAGGCTCCTGTGGTTCACGCCTGTAATCCTAACTACTCAGGAGGCTGAGATCTGAGGATCGCAGTTCAAAGCCAGCCCAGCCAGGAGAGACTGTGAGACTCCTATCTCCAATAAACCACCAGAAAACCGGAAGTGGTGCTGTAGCTCAAGTGGTAGAGCACTCGCCTTGAGCTGAAGAGCTGAGGGACAGCGCCCAGCCCCAGAGTTACAATGGGTCATCCTGTGTTATTATAAAGGTGCTATACAGAGGGGTTACAGTTAACATAAGTCAGGTAGAGTATGTTTCTTTTTGGACAATATCACTGTTAGATTATTTAGACTTCGCCAGAAAAACACGCAGACATCCAGGTACAGAGAACAAAGAAAGGTTTACTGCCCGGGAAGGGGCCCGACAAGACCTCTTCTCACAAGGGAGAAGTGAGAAGAAGCACCAGTTATTGTCTGATGACCTATATAACATAGTTGGTTTATGAGGGGCTAGAAGGGCTAAGAGGTGGAGACCCTGGTGTGGACATGCGGGCCAGGGGCTTCATCATGGCAGACTAGGATTTATGGCTGCTATCCAAATAGAAGATAAGGGGCCCTGCAGCTGCCCAGACCTGAAGGTCACTCTAAGGGACTCTTGCTACCTTTTATGGTGGTAGCTGCCCCCGAGGACTGCCATCCCATGGTAGAGGGGGCTGGAGGCTGATTATTTACTACATGGGCCTAGTGTTGCCTAGGAAGGGAACCTGCTAAGCTGTGGAGAGGGAAAGGAGCATGCTAAGGTATGGGAAAGGAGCTTATTATGCTAACAATCACCCCTTCCCTTGCTCTCTCCCAGTTTCAAAACTCTTGATTGTTCTCCAGAATATTCCAGGAAAGCTTCTGTGCCAGTAGCTTTATTAAATTGGCTCATCTGTGTGTCACAGGAAAGCCAGCCTGTGAAGCACCTGAGTAAGATAGTTAAGACCAGCGCAAAATTGTAACCTCTTTGTACAACTACTTAATAGGAATTTAAACAAACAAGAGACCAGAGGAAGCCAGGGTGAAGATAAGGCTGGACACGTCAGGGGCAGGGTGTTTGTCAGAACCCAGCCATCTGGAAGTTGTTCATCCTGAGCACTGTCTCTCAGCCTGAGCACTGTGTCTCAGCTCTTCAGCTCAAGGCAAGCGCTCTACCACTTGAGCCACAGTGCCACTTCCAGCTTTCTGTTAGTTAATTGGAGATAAGAGTCTCAGACTTTGCTGCCCCAGGCTAGCTTTGAACTGCGATCCTCAGATCTCAGCCATCTGGATAGTTAGTATGGGCCTGAGCCACTGGCACCTGGCTGTTCTTGACAGATTCATAAGGATAATGTTTTCTGGAGATCTCCCAGAGGCCTCTGTGTACTGTGGTTAGTTGGTTTGTGGGGAAGGAGGAGTGATACTGGGGGTTGAACTCAGGCCCCCACACTCTTCCTTAGCTGCCCCCACCCTAAACTAGTACTCTACCACTTGAGCCTCAGCTTCACTTCCGGCTTCTGTTTGGGGGGTGGTGTTTGGGGGGGGGTCAGGGTTGGGGGGAGGTTAATTTATGTTAAAAGTCTTATGGACTTTCCTACCGATGCTGGCTTCCATCCTTCATCCTTGAATCTCAGGACTGCTGGTACAGAGTTTGGGATACTGTCCAAAAACAGAATTTAAGGACACATTGAGGTAGAAACCAAGAAATTTTATTAGTAAAGAAGAGGGAAGGAAGGAAGGAAGAAAAGAAGGGAGGAAGGAAGGGAGGGAAAAGAAAAGAAAAAAGACAAAGGAAGGAAGGAAGGAAGGGAGGGAGGGAGGGAGGGAGGGAGAAGAAAAAAGACAAAGGAAGGAAGGAAGGAAGGAAGGAAAGAAGGAAGGAAGGAAGGACACAACCCATATGTGTGGCCGGTCTGACATTAAGTGTTCCAACATCACAGGGAGTGATGCAGTAAAAGTAGATTGAGAGTTGCTCAAATTCACCTTACAACACTTTTCTCCTTTGACACCCAGCACATTTGATTATTTGTGTGTGTGTGTGTGTGTGTGTGTGTGTGTGTGTCCTGGTCCTGGGGCTCGAACTCAGGGCCTGGGCAGTTAGCACCATCCCAGAGGACCACGCAGAGGCAGTCAGGCACAAGAGAAAGATTATTATAAGGTTTATTAGAGAGACCATATCTCCCCACCCCCCACCCCCAGAGGGAGCAATATGGCATCTGCCCCTATCCAGGTGGGTAGCTCTGGAGCTAATCGCAGGTAGGTCTGCATAGGAGAGAGGGGGTGGCCAGCTATAAAACAACTCTAGGGCAGGGAGAAGCTAAGGTCTGGGTGGAGCCAAAGACAGGAGGTGGGGATAAAGCTAACAGGCACAGCGATCTCCTTTTATCTTCCTTTTCTAGAATATTCTGGAAAACAATCAAGAGTTTTGAAACTGGGAGAGAGCAAGGGAAGGGGTGATTGTTAGCATAATAAGCTCCTTTCCCATAGCTTAGAATGCTCCTTCCCCTCTCCACAGCTTAGCAGGCTCCCTTCCTAGGCAACACCAGGCCCATGTAGTAAAGGCAGTAAATAATCAACCTCCAGCCCCCTTTACCATGGGATGGCAGTCCTCTGGGGCAGCTACCACCATAAAAAGTAGCAAGAGTCCCTTAGAGTGACCTTCAGGTCTGGGCAGCTGCAGGGCCCCTTATCTATTATATGGGCAGCACCATAATCCTAGTCTGCCATGATGACGCCCCTGGCCCGCATGTCCACACCAGGGTCTCCGCCTCCTAGCCCCTTCTAGCCCCTCCTAAACCTCAAGGATAGTGCTCTACCACTGGAGCCACAGCTCCACTTCCGGCTTTTTCTGTGGTTTAATTGGAGATGAGTTGGGCTGGTTAAGAACCACGGTCCTCAGATCTCAGCCTCCGGAGTAGCTCAGATTACGGGGCGTGAGCCACCGGCCGGCTCACTCAATTATTCTAGCAGTTACACTTTCATCAGTGGGGCCCGGAGGTCAATGTGGAGTCACGGATGTCTGGGTGTTCCTGCGGCACAGCAGTTTGTCCGTCCCCAGAAAAGTATTTAAAACGCATTTTGTGCGGAGAGGAGTCGTTTCCCCAAGTGTTTTTGTCTCCAGGTTGTCTTTTTTTAAGATCCTTTCTTACGTATTTACTAACTCCAGCCTGGGAGGGAGGCGGGAGGTGGGGTTTAAAGCAAAGACCTCACCGCTCCCGCCCATCCTGAGTCGGGATTGAATGGCTAGCGGCGGTTTCCCCTGTCCCACTTTCTCCGCTCCCGGGCGGGAGAAGCCAGCCGCGCCCTGCGCCCCGCCTGGGAAGAGGCCGGACGCGAGAGCCGCCCCGCGCGGGAGGCTCCGGGAACTACAGCCCCCAGGCGCCCCGCGCGGTGGCACCGGGCCCGCCCCGCGCCCCGAGGCCCCCAGCGATAAAGCGCCCTGGCCGGCGGCCGGGCGGGCGGACAGACAGCGGTGCGGCGCGGCGCGCAGTGCGGAGCGCAACGCGGCGTCGCCCCGGCCACCGAGCGGACCCCGGCGAGCGCAGCCCGCCGCGCGCGGGGCGGACCCACGGACGCGGACCCACAGCTGCCTGGCCTCCGGGCAGGTGGGGCTGGGGGGCGGACGCGGGGGTGGGCGAGGCGGAGGGAGGAGAGCGGTGGCCTCCCCGGCAGGTTCTCGGAGGAGTTGGTTGCATTTCTGCATTTTCCGTTGTGTTCTGTGTTTTCCGGTGCCTCGGCTTCTAGTTCTGCAAATCTCGGGCGTTGTCCCTGTGCGGACCCGCTCTGCCTTGTTCAGTAATCGCCTGCTACATTCAAGCTTTAGTGAACACTTCGCTCCTTTGCTTTTTTGTGCCTGCACTGAGCCCTAGGCTCTGGGCTTAGGGGCGCTGTGGGTTAACATTTCCCACTCCAAAGCTGGCACCCTACCACTTGACCACACCTCACTGGAGGCTTTTTGCTGTTTAATTGGAGATAAGAGGCTCTTGGACTTCTTGCCTCCAACTGACTTTCAAACCAGGATCCTCAGATCTCGGCCACAAGTTTCTGTTAAAACCGAGATTTTAAGGATCATTCTTTGATACAACTGTGATGTTTTTATCCCAATACTAAGGAATTTTATTTAGCGTATTGCTCTATGTAGTGCAAAAAATTTGAAGCTGGCCAGTCGCTACTGGCTCACACCTGTAATCCTAGCTAATCTGGAGGCTGAGATCTTAGGATCAGAGTTCAGAGCTAGCCCGGGCAAGCCTAGGCAGGAAAGTCAATCAGACTCCTTATCTCCAATTAACCACCAGAAAACCAGAAGTGGCACTGTGGCTCAAATGGTAGAGTGCTCACCTTGAGCTGAAGAGCTCAGAAACATTACCCAGGCCCTGAGTTCAAGCCCCATGACCGCCAAAAAAAAAAAAAAAAGAAGAAGCTGTACCTGTTCTTTTCCTTGAAGTCAAGGAAAGGAGCCAAAACTACTGTGCCTAAACTCTGACATGGAGCTATTTAAAGAATTTGATTTTATTGATATTAAGTTGTTACACTTTTGTAAGTTTGGTAATGAGCACATTCTTTTTGGACAAAGTCACCCCTTCTAACTGTTAAAGTCAGTTTTAGGCTGGGTGCCGTTGGCTCAAGCCTGTAATCTTAGCTATTCAGAAGGTTGACTGATAACTGTTCAAACTCAGCCAGGGTAGGAAAGTCAGACTGATCTCCAATTAACCACCAGAAAACTGGAAGTGGCACTGTGGCTCAAAGTAGCAGAGCACTAAGCTTGGGCTGAAAAGCTCAAGAACAACCCCCAGCCCCTGAGGTCAAGTCCCAAGACTGACAAAAAAAAAATCAGTTTAGAAGTTGTCTTGCCTGTAAGGATTGAAGTGAGAGGAGGCGGGGCACACGGACTAGCTGGCCAGATGTTGAAAGGTAACCAGGATTGTTATTGGACTGGAACACTGCAGGCATGGCATTGGGTAGACAAACTAGAGAGTTGGCAAAGACCAGATGAGAAATACTGATGTTCTGGATGATTCCTCTGGCTGCCTGTGGGGACAGAAGAGAGTAGAGACTATGATTCCCAGCCTCATCCTATTCTTCCACAGACCCCTTGTTTTGAAATTTTTTTAACTCCAACTGCATTTACTCATCATTCATTTCTCTCAACTAAAGATATATAGAACTGCCCGTCTAAAGCTTCTGCCCATCCTAAGAATGTCGTTGTTACAAGGTATGAAATAAATACAGCTAAAAGCACAAGAAAATAGAAGGCTGTGTGGCTAGAACAAACTGGCGGAGTTTGATTTAGGCAACAATGCCGACTCAAGCTGTGGGCTATCTTATCACTTGACCCTTCTTCCATACCCCGGCCACATGGACCTATGGTTGTGACCACTGGTCCAGATAAGAAGGGGCTAAGTCCAGAGAAGGGCAGCAAGAAAGAAGGAAGAATTTCTGAGAAAGAAGGTAGCAGAATTTGAAGCTGGGAAGGTGGCTCAGTGGTAGAGCGCTTGCCTTGCATGCCTGAGGCCCTGGGTTCGATTCCTCAGCACCACATAAGCAAAAAGAAAAAAGCCAGAAGTGATGCTGTGGCTCAAGTGGTAGAGTGCTAGCCTTGAGCTGAAGAGCTGAGGGACAGCGCCCAGGCCCAGAGTTCAGGCCCCACGATCGGACCCAAAAAGAAAAAGAAGGTAGCAGAATTTAAGCAACTAGTCCCTGGAGAGGAAAAAAGCGTTGAGGTTTGGGGTGAAGGTATCTGCACAGCGGAAGTGAGGGAAGATGATGCTGGTCAGGGACTTGTACCCATTGATAAGATCTTATGGAGAACACTGAATGTAGACTCACTTATGTGCCTGCCCCTGGTTTTAATCATGTTATAGGAATTCATACTTTTAATTATCTCAACAACCCTGTGAAATGTGATTGTCATTATGCTCATTTAAAGTACCTGAAGCCTGGTACCAGTGACTCATGACTGTAATCCTAGCTATTCAGAAGGTTGAATCTGAAGATTGAGGTTTGAAGCCAGCCTAGGCAGAAAAGTCTATGAGACACATTCTCTCTCTCTCTCTCTCTCTCTCTCTGAGTAAAATGTTAGACTGGAGATATGGCTCTACCTATAAGTAACAAAGAAACTGCTTACAGGACAAGATGATAGAATGACAGGAATCTTGAGTTAAAGTGCTATAGACATACCAGGTCAAGCTAGACAGCAGACATCATCATCAGTCTTGTGATGCTGAGACATTTTTTGGACTAGATGGGGCCTCCTAGGCTCAGAGGATAAGTAGCCTGTCCTGTAGTAAAGGTGTCACATGAAGCCTAAAGGTTAGCACTGTGTCTTAGGATTTCTTGTCATATTTCCCTGTGGGCCAGGTGATTGTTTATCTTCTAAACTTCCAACATGGTTGTTGCCTTCTACTTGATTAGGAAATGTTTGAAAAACCCTGATGTCCTATGGATTGTGACAGGCCTCCCTTCACAGCCCTTTATGCTGTAGCACTGCTACATGCAGGATTTGAATTTCATTTCAGGAGTAAGTCTTGCAGGGAACTCATTTCCAAGGAGCAGTATCAGGCTGGCTTACCACAAAAGCTGTAAATGTTTCTCAAGGGCTCTTCTGTATCTCTTGGGAGATACAGAAAAAAATAGAAGATAAGGAATTGTGAATTCCAAAAGTTTATTTATTAACAGTTGTAAGACAAGAGTAGATAAAACAAAATGGTTCAAGCCCGGCACTGGTGGCTCCTACCTGTAATTCTAGCTACTCAGGAGGCTGAGATCTGAGTTCAAAGTTCAAAGGCAAGCCAGGTAGGAATGTCCTTGAGACTCTTACCTCCAATTAACCAGCAAAATGTCTTACTGGCTATAATGGTAGAGCACTACCCAGGAGCAAAAAATCTAAGGTAAGCTGGGTGCAGGTGGCTCACTCCTGTTGTACTTACTAGCTACTAAGGAGGCTGAGATCTGAAGATTTTGGTTCAAAGCAAGAAACTCTCTGTGAGACTATTCTCCCCAATTAACCACCCCAAAACTGGAAGTGGCGCTGTGGCTCAAGAGTGTTAGCCTTGAGCACAGAAAACCTCAGGGACAGCATGCAGGCCCTGTGTTCAAACCACACACACACACACACAAAGCACAGGGAAAGTGGGCAGGTCCTGAGTTCAAGCCCAGTACTAGAGCACAAAAATAAAATAAGAAAGAAGACTGGCTCATAATTACGTATTTCAAAGCCAGGTAGGTATATGGTGTATGCCTGTATCCCAGCCCCTGGATGCTGAAGCAGAAGGATCATGAGTTTGAGGCCAGCCTGAGCTATATAATATGGGTCAGATTTCGCTCTAGTGGGCACTTTTAAATGTGTCTGTGGTGTCAGAAATATATGTGCCCTCTTGCCAATCTCCTATAGTCATCCTGTATTTCCTATAAACCCACTGTCTTGGATAATTGTCACAAAACTATCTGGTGACCATCTATTTTTCTTCCTTGATCGTTAGACATTTGTTGCATGGCTTAAAATTGTATTTGGCTTTTTGTGTCTCAAAATAAAATAAACGTATACGTACCAAAGACCGAGAATTAAACCAGGCAATCTGCCTTCACAAGGAGGTCAGCCAGGATGCTCTGAGGCATGCGTTCACTGCTTATGCCAGGTCTTCTACACCACTGTGGACAGATGGAGGGAGGCTGTGGCCACAAATGAGTGGGGGCAGGGTTGACCATGAATATCTGACTAGGAAATCATCATCCAGCCACAGTCTGGGTGACCTCATTCAGTCAGCCACAGAGTCATCACTTGTGAACTGAAAACCAGAAATCAGGCAGGTCTCTGTGCTCCAGACAGGGAAAAACAATGCCAAATAATACACTCCCCCATGTCCCTCTGTAGCCTGTGCTAGTGGGGAAGAGAGATAATATATAGTTAGCATGGTTTGCCTAGAAAAACTGGACCTATGTTTGCTAAGTGAATCTGAGAATAGTTACATAAAGTACAGTGGAACCTTAAGACCTTTAAGTTTGGGGTTGGAGGTATGGCTCAGTTGGTAGCATGCTAGCCAATGAGTGAAAGGTGCAGGTACTGATTTTGAGTGCTAGTCTTTTATTTTTTTTTTTGGGTGCGGTCGTGGAGCCTGAACTCTGGGCCTGGGCGCTGTCCCTCAGCTCTTCAGCTCAAGGCTAGCGTTCTACCACTTGAACCACAGCACCACGTCCAGCTTTTTTCTTTTTGCTTATGTGGTGCTGAGGAATCGAACCCAGGGCCTCAGGTATGCAAGGCAAGCATTGAGTGCTAGTTTTGGACTTCAAAAAAAAAAAATTAAGGAAAGACTAAGTGCTACTTTTAGGTGGGATTCTAGATTAAAAGAATGAAGACGGAGAAATAATGTCCTTTTATGACTGCATTTTAATTTAAATTATGGAAATTCCTCATATATTTCACTTCTCTGAGTAAGGTTAGAGTTGTGCTGTTATTGACCCCTATTCTTTGAGGTTTGGGATGGCCTCCCTCATGTAGATAACTAAAATAGAATGTCTTCCAAATGGGGCTGGGAAGGTGGCTCAGTGGTAGAGCGCTTGCCTTGCATGCATGATGCCCTGGGTTCAATTCCTCAGCACCACATAAGCAAAAAGAAAAAAGCCGGAAGTGGTGCTGTGGCTCAAGTGGTAGAGCGCTAGCCTTGAGCTGAAGAGCTGAGGGACAGCGCCCAGGCCCAGAGTTCAGGCCCCACAACCAGACCAAAAAAAAAAAAAAAAAGAATGTCTTCCAAATAGCATTTTTCCAGACTAGAATTATTTTCCCTTTCCTAATCCAAACATGTTTTCCCAGTAGAGTTGAGCTCTAAAATCTTACATTCTATCACTTGCACTGTGTGTTTATATTCTTGTAAGCATATTTTACAGTTCTAAGCTAGAGGTGGACTTTGCCCTGGGTTTGATCATTAATTGACATTCCTTTAAGAAAGAGGGGAATGATTTTGTGTGTTTTCCAGACTTTCCGCTGCGCAATGGCCTCCCCGAAGAAGAAACTGCAGGGTCTCGTTGCTGCCACAATCACACCAATGACTGAGAATGGGTAACTATCACGTGGGGCCATAAAGGGATCTGTTCTCATTCAACCAGAAAGGACAGAACTCTCTATAATTACAGTCCCTTAGGCTCTGGACCTGGTGGGGCAGGAAGGTACTCTTGCCAAGTGTTAGCTTGTTTGTATCTCATCTTGGTTCTATACCATCCCTGGACACACACACACACACACACACACGCACGCACGCACGCACGCACGCACGCACGCACGCACGCACGCACTCACCAGGGTCTGTCATGGGGCCTGAACTCTGGGCCTGAGTGCTGTCCCTCCTCAGCTCTTCTGCTCAAGGCTAGCGCTCTACCACTTGAGCCACAGCGCCACTTCCGGCTTTTTTTTTCTTTTTTGCTTATGTGGTGCTGAGGAATTGAACCCAGGGCCTCATGCATGGTAGGCAAGCGCTCTACCACTGAGCCAACTTCCCAGCCCCTGTCCCTCAGCTCTTTAGCTCAAGGCAAGCGCTCTACCACTTGAACCAAAGCGCCACTTCCAGTTTTCTGGTGGTTAATTAGAGATGAGTCACACAGAAGATAGATAACCTTTTCAAAGGCCTTGGTTTTTGGTATTCTCTTCCTCAATTTTTAAACATTAACCATATCCCTCTAAAGTAGATGAAATTTCTTTTCTTTTCTTTCTTTTTCCTTTTTTGTGGGTTGTGGGGCTTGAACTTGGGGCCTGGGCACTGTCCCTGAGCCTCTTTGTGATCAAGGCTGGCACTCTACCACTTGAGCCACAGTACCACTTCTAGTTTTTGGGTGATAATTGGAGATAAGAGTCTCATGGGGACTTTTCTACTTGAGCTGGCTTTGAATGACGGGTCCTCAGATCTCAGCCTCCTGAGTAGCTAGGATTATAGGCATGAGCCACCGGATCCTGGTGATAACATTTCTTATGGCTTTCAGCATTCTCATTAAGGGTGACCAGATCATAGTTCTTCCTTAGGTCAGCAGAGTCCAAGACTCTGGCTTCATCCTGATTATTTCTTTTTCTTTCTTTCTTTCTTTCTTTTTCTCTTTCTTTCTTTCTTTCTTTCTTTCTTTCTTTCTTTCTTTCTTTCTTTCTTTCTTTCTCTCTCTCTCTCTCTCTTTCTCTCTCTTTCTCTCTCTCTCTCTCTCTCTCTCTTTCTTTCTTTCTTTTTTTTGGTCGGTCATGGGGCCTGAACTCTGGGCCTGGGCACTGGTCCTCAAGCTCTTCAGCTCAAGGGTGCTCTACCACTTGAGCCACAGCACCACTTCCAGCTTTTTCTGTTTATGTGGCACTGAGGAATCAAACCCAGGGCCTCATGCATGCAAGGTAAACACTCTACCACGGAGCCACCTTCCCAGCCCCCATCCCAACTATTTCTAACTTGCTGAGGTTGCATTTTGACTACTCAGCTGGTTTGTAACAGTTTGGGGTTTTTTGTTGGTGGTGGTGCTGATAGTTATTTCACTTTTCCACAAGTTCTAGAAAAGACTGAAGTCAGCTGTTTCTCAATGCAACAACTACTTATTTGGCAGATAAAGCAGAAGACATGTGACTTCATGAGGCAGATTAACTTCCTGCTACAGAGTTAAAAACACTCCATCTGGTGGGTGCTGCTTTAACCTTTGAATAGAGACTCCCTCTGTGCCTGGAAGTGGCTTCTTAAAGCAGCCTAATTGCTCATCCACAACCCACTGAGAGTGTCAGTGTGTCCTTCCTCTGTATTGTGCTATTTTCCTGGAAGCCCAGGACTCTGCTTTTCTGCTTTGTTTCCATTTCTCGAAATCCTCTTGCCCTTATACCTTCATTTTGCTATTTTTTCTTTTTTCTTTTCTTTTTTTCTTTCCTCCAGTCCTGGGGCTTGAACTCAGGCCTGTCCCTGAGCCTCTTTTGCTCCAGGCTAGCACTCTTACCACTTGAGTCACAGCATAAGTGGAGTAATTATTTTTTTTTGGGGGGGGGGCTCCAGTCGTGGGGCCTGAACTCTGGGCCTGGGCACTGTCCCTCAGCTCTTCAGCTCAAGGCTAGCATTCTACCACTTGAGCCACAGCGCCACTTCCAACTTTTTTCTTTTTGCTTATGTGGTGCTGAAAAATTGAACCCAGGGACTCATGCATGCAAGGTAAGCGCTCTACCACTGAGCCACCTTCCCAACCCCTGGAGTAATTATTTATTATTTTTTTATTTTTTTTGAGTAATTATTTACTACCTAAACTACAGAAGAAAAATTCTCATCAGTTTGTTTGTTGTTGTTGTTTTGTGTGCCGTCCTGTGGTTCAGACCCAGAGCCTGGATGCTGTTCCTGAGCTTTTTGTTGTTGTTGTTGCTCAAAACTAGCACCCTATCACTTGAGCCACAGCTCCACTAATGACTGTTTGTTTGTTTTATTGGAGATAAGTGTCTCAAGGACTTTCCTGCCTGGGCTGGTTCAAACCACGATCCTCAGATTTCAGCCTCCTGAGTAGCTACAATTACAGGCATGTCCACCTATGCCCAACTTCATTAATTTTCTTTTTTTGGGAGTGGTAGGCGCTGGTCATAGGGCTCAAACTCAAGGTGTAGGCTCTGTCTCTGAGCTCTTTGGCTCAAGGCTGGTGTTCTACCACTTTGAGCCACGGTGCCACTTCTAGTTTTCTAATAGTTAATTGTAGATAACAGTCTCATGGACTTAATTGACCAGACTGGCTTTGAACTGTAATCCTCAGATCTCAGCCTTCTCCTGGCTCATCAAATTTTTTTTTTTTTTTGGATCTGGTCATGGGGCCTGAACTCTGGGCCTGGGCGCTGTCCCTCAGCTCTTCAGCTCAAGGCTAGCACTCTACCACTTGCCACAGCGCCACTTCCGGCTTTTTTCTTTTTGCTTATGTGGTGCTGAGGAATCGAACCCAGGGCTTCAGGCATGCAAGGCAAGCGCTCTACCACTGAGCCACCTTCCCAGCCCTCATCAAATTATTTTTTAACCACAATCTGAAGCTTATAGCAGCTAGATGTGAAACTGCATGGAGACTACAGATCTTCTGTCAGGGCATGAAAAAAGGCCCTTTTTCCCAAGTGGCTTTTCTGAGAGAAATCCCCATCACTGTTGCTGTCATTGCTTCCCTTTCTTGGTACATAACACAGAAGGAAAGTTCTTCTCTTTATTTGCAAAGACAAGCAATATAACTGGAATGGTAGGGCCAACATATCAGAAATCACATCAAAATCAGGTAGAAGTTATGTATGCTCATGGCAAAAATAACTACTTTGCTATTTCTGAACTTTTGAGCAGACAAGTATACAAGAAGAAACTGTCCCAGCCTAGGGGAGGTTGAAGATGGTTGGTTCTGGGAGCCTGGTCACTGGTCATAGTTAAAAAGACAACAAGCAAGGGCTGGGAACGTGGCTCAGTGGTAGAGTGCTTGCCTTGCATGTAAGAGGCCCTGGGTTCGATTCCTCAGCACCACATAAGCAGAAAAAGTTGGAAATGGCCCTGTAACTCAAGTGGTAGAGCTTGAGCTGAAGAGCTGAGGGCCAGCTCCCAGGCCCAGAGTTCAGGTCCCATGACCGACAAATAAAAAAATAAATAAATAGAAAACAAGCCATGAATTCTGATTCCCAAATGCCAGGTGCTTTCTGAGTGGAAAGAGGCTTGTTTGTATAGATTTCCATAGGGAAGCAATGACATGTGAGAGAGAAAACGCAATTTATTTCTTGCTGCATATTTGCTCAGAAGGAAAAGTGCCTTTTTGTTGTTGAGACTGAGTTTTGTTATGTTGTCCAATCTAGTCTCAAACTCCAAGGCTCAAGTACTCCTTCAAATAGCCTCCTGAGTATATCCAGGACTATAGGGATGTGCCATGGTACCTAGTGAGCTAAGAACAGTGAGTCATTTTCCTTTTCTAATATAGACATTGTATTGCTTGGGGCAAGTGTGCTAGCTTTTAGGATCTGTTTCTTCACCTGAAAAAAAAATAGAGATATAGTTCTCTCTTAGTTGTCTAGATTAAACTGGAACTTATAGATAAAAATGCCTGTAATACTAGCTACGAAGGAGGCTGAGATTTGATGATCACAGCTCGAAGCCAGCCCAGGCAAGAAAGTCCATGTGATGCTGATCTCCAATTAACCCCCAAAAAGCCAGAAACTGAGCTGTGGCTCTGTTTTTTGCTACCCTTGAGCAAAAATGCTTAGGAATAGTGCCTAGCACCTTGGCCCTGAATTCAGGCCCCAGGACTAGCCAACAAAAAAAAAAAAAAAAACAGTGAGAGGGAAGAGAAAAGGAAGGGCAGGAGTGTTGTCCTAATTATTCTTCCAGACCCAAGTGCTTGACAATTCCTTTCCACCTCAATACTTGGAATTTTTCAGCCCCTCCTCTAAACCTCCATGTGCCTAATTCATGTACACGCTATCAGTTAACACATAGTGAAACTTCATAACGTCATATAAAATGTGGTGTCAGCTGATAGGAAGACAGAGATGGGAGAGTAGTCACATGACCACTCCTTTGCCTTTCTGGCCTTTACTGAGGTCCCTTGCTCTGTCAAGTACAGCCAGGCAGTGTATGAGTGGGCATGAGCACCGTAAGAGAGCCTGCTCTGGTGGCAGGCTTACATCTTCACTGATGCATACCTTTTCCTGAGTGGCAGGCTCAGCTCCCTTTATAGCTTTCCCCTGAGCACACTGTGGAGTGTTTGTCACTGCGTTTTTTGCTTTCTTGCTTACCCTTTAATCTCCTAGTCAGCTGTTTTTTATTCTCTTCTTCCCTTTGATAAATACCCTTTGATATCTGTTTCTTAGATGTATCAGAGTTTTCATCTTATTTTTATTATTGTAGAAATTCAATAAGATGAAAAGCACATTAATAAGGCTAAAAATTAGGATTCTCTGTACAAATGGCAGCCTGGGTACTTTGTGTCCTAGACAATGTTACCATGGTTGCTGCCCGGTTTTCTTTTGGATTCTCACTCTCCTTTGCCCATCCTCCCCTGCTGCATTTTAACTCAAGACAGGCCACTAAATACATCTTGTAAGTCAGTTTTAGATTTTGAACTCAACGTGACCTTAAAGGACAGTGCTCTTAGCATCTACCTCAGGTATTAGATCCTGGCAAGGTTAGTGAGGTGCAGAAAGGCAGCTAGCACTGGATCTTACCAAAATGCAGATTGTGCCAGGATAGGACCATGGGTAGACTGGGATTATGCATATCTGACAGACTTGCCAGATACCCATGCTGCTCTTTTCAAAATGTTTGGCTCTCACTCTGAGAGACAGAGTGACAGCAAAGCTCCTTTCCAACTCTTAATCCTCTTCAGTTTAAAACTAGCAAATACAGATGGATTTAAGTCTTCATTTGTTGTCACAAATGTTAAGTGCTAAAAGTTGTTATAGTCTTAAGATTGAATTTTCCTAGCTGAATTTTCCACCAAGTTCAAGAATGTTAAGTTCTTGCCTGGTGCTAGTGGCTCCCACATGTCATCCTAGCTACTCAGGAGGCTGAGATCTGAGGATCACAATTCAAAGCCAGCCTGGGCAGGAAAGTCGATGAGACACTTATCTCCACTTAACCTCCAGAAAATGGGAAGTAGAGCTGTGGTTCAAAGTGGTGGAGAGCTAGCCTTGCGCAAAAGAGCTCAAGGATAGCTTCCAGGCCCTGAGTTCAAGTACCATGACTCACCCCCCCAAAAAAGTTCTCATTTCTCCAACCACACCTACCTATCTCTTTCCCAAAGAAAGAACATATATGACTAGCAAATTTCTTTTTAAAGCATTATTTGTAGTGAAGTTTAAATGTAAATGTAAAACCTCTTTTGAATAGTTTTCTTCTCATGTAAATGAGGCGCATGTGGCTGGGTTGTTCTGTTACCAAGATCAGAGGAACAAAAACACAAAACAAAAGCATTTTGGGGGGGCGGGGGGGAGGTCCGGTTGTGAGGCTGAACTCTGGGCTTGGGTGCTGTCCCTCAGATCTTCAGCTCAAGGCTAGCGCTCTACCACTTGAGCCACAGCGCCACTTCCGGCTTTTTTTCTTTTTGCTTATGTGGTGCTGAGGAATGGAAGCCAGGGCCTCAGGCATGCAAGGCAAGTGCTCTACCACTGAGCCACCTTCCCAGCCCAACAAAAGCATTTATTCAGAGCACCCTAGATCACAAAACAGATTTTTTTTTTCCGGTCATGGGGCCTGAACTCTGGGCCTGGACACTGTCCCTCAGCAATTTAGCTCAAGGCTAGTGCTCTACCACATGAGCCACACCTCCACTTCTGGCTCTTTCTGCTTATGTGGTGCTGAGGAATCAAACCTAGGGCCTCATGCATGCAAGGCAAGCACTCTATCACTGAGCCACCTTCCCAGCCCCACAAAGTGGATTTTTAATAACTATTAATAAGCATATAGCTGGTCACCAGTGGCTCATGTCTGTAATCTTAGCTATTCAGGAGGCTGAGACCTGAGGCTTATGGTTTAAAGACAGCTTGGACAGCAAAGCCTATGAGACTCTTCTTCTGGTCTGTCACAGGGCCTTGAACTCTCCGCTTGGGTGCTGTCCCTGCACTCTTCAGCTCAAGGCAAGCACTCTCCCACTTGAGCCTTAGCACCACTTCTGGTTTTCTGGTGGTTTATTGGAGATAAGAATCTCACGGACTTTCCTGCCTGGGCTGGCTTTGAACTTTAATCTCAGCCTCCTGAGTAGCTAGGATTACAGGTGTGAGCCACTAGTACCCGGGTATGAGACTCTTATCTCCAGTAAACCACCAAAAGGCTGAAAGCAGAGCTATGGCTCAAGTGATAAGAGCACTAGCCTTGAACAGTAAAAGCTCAGAGACAGCACCCAGGCCCTGAGTTCAAGCCTCACTATTTCCCCCACTCCCCACGAGAGAGAACACATCCTATAGGCCTGGGAATTGGTTGAATTAATGCTCTTTTTCATATCTTTTAGAGAAATCAACTTTTCTGTAATTGGCCAATACGTGGACTACCTTGTGAAAGAGCAGGGAGTGAAGAACGTTTTTGGTAAGTCATCTTGAGATTCCTCTGTCTCTAAGCACCATCTTTGAAAGGTAGATCTTACCTGCTTTCTGACCAGTGTATCATATTGCAGATCTCGATGGAGCCATGATAGGCTAACTAAAAGCTGTGCATTTATATATTTCCCAGTGTTAAATCAATCGTGCCCCTCCAAGGGATCATTTCATTTGGTGGTGTGCTGGTATTTTTTTCATCATTTACAGATGACAAATCTATGCCTCAGATACAGCCTTTTTGTTAGGTCACTTGACCAAGAAGTGTTGAATAACAGTGAAACCTTCTTATGTAACAACTCTCCTTAGCACTCTTCAGAATGGGCTCCAGTCTGTCCCCATCTGCGCTTTTTCAAATTGTGAATGAAAGAAATACTCTAAATGCAGAGCACAAGGAAATCATAGGGCAAGCATTTTGCCCATTCATTTCAAAAATGGTAAAAAAAAAAAAAATGAATTTTTTCTTAATTTAAAAATCAGGCCACATATAGTGGCACATGCTTATAACCCCTTCACTTGAGTAGTCACAAGGTCAAGACCAGCCTGTGCTATATAATCAAGTTCTAAACAGCTTGGGCTGTATATTAAGACTGTAGATCAAAAAACAAAATCAGATCTTGAGGATTTTAAGCCTAAGAACAATATCTACTAGTGGATGAACTAGCCTTTGTGTGGGATTAGGAACACGCTACTCCTTGAGTGGGTTTTTCTTCCAAGGAAACACAGCTGTGAACTCACTTAAATTATCTGGTGTTTCTGACTTCATGTTTTCTTCTGTAAACAAGAATGATTTCTGTTTTGCTGAATTGCTGTGGAGAGGGGGTTGGTGACTGACTGCTGGGTGCCTGACCTCTTCTGCTGACAGCTCAAACACCTCCCCTTCTCTGAGCCTACAAAAGTAAATGAGTGGTACAAAATAAAATCCTTCTCAGGCAGGGATTTAGGGCACTGCACCTCGAGAGAGTTGGAGTTGGAGAGCAAACACCATTGGCCAGTCCCACTGACTGACTGATTCTTGGTTTGAAACAGTGAATGGCACAACAGGAGAAGGCCTGTCCCTGAGCATGTCTGAACGTCGCCTGGTTGCAGAGGAGTGGGTGACGCAAGGGAGGAACAAGTGAGTGGCTCTGCAGAGATGAAATGCACTGTGTCATCAAGAGTGGGAAGATGAGCCAAGGCCCTGAGGCTCCCAGCACCGTGTAACGAAAAGGGGGAAGCCCATTTGCCACGCACCCCTGCTCCCATCTGGAAATGGGAAACCCTCTTATCCATGTACAGGATCCATTTCTTCAGGATTCTGGTACTAGGCTGACCCCTGAGATAAGTCTCTGCCCTCAGGCTGTTGTGCAAGTAATGGGGAATCAGATGTTGATGCCTGTTCTGATAAATGGGTAAACATGGAGAAAGTGATGATAGTTACTGATTTAGGTGGAAGCAAAAGATCTGAGGTAAGCCGGGCACCAGTGGTTCACACTTGTAATCCTAACTACTCAGGAGGCTAAGATCTGAGTATCTCAGTTCAAAGCCAGCCCAGGCAGGAAAATCCTTGAGACTCTTATCTACAATTAACCACCAGAAAACCAAAGTGGCGCTGTGGCTCAAGCCGTGGAGCACTCACCTTGAGCTGAAGAGTGCAGGGACAGCGCCCAAGCCCAGAGTCAAGCCCTACGACTGACAAAAAAAAATAATAATAAAAGATCCCCAAGAAGGCCTGGGTTTTACCTTGACAGTCTCTGTTTCAGGCCACAGGGGATTTACATTAGATTTGGCGGGGGGAGAAGAGGGGGTCAGTTGTGGGGCTTGAACTCTGGGCTTGGGCTTAGGCGCTGTTCCTGTGCTCTTCATCTCAAGGCAAGTGTTCTACTGCTTGAGCCACAGTGCCATTTCTGTTTTTTCTGGTGTTTAATTGGAGATAAGAGTCTCACGGACTTTTCTGCCCAGGCTGGCTTTGAACCAAGATCCTCAGATCTCAACCTCCTGAGTCGCTAGGATTACAGGCATGAGCCACCAGCGCCCGGCTCCTTAGGGATCTTTAAATGGCTTCCAAGCATGTTAAATACTCTAAAATCATATGCCAAGCCTGTCCCAAAGCATTTCCAAGTGATCCATCAGCTTTCAGTTAGTTTTTGGTCAGGTGTTCAGTCCAAACAGATTAAAAACCTGGGGCAATGTATGAAAAGAGGAGGCTAAGAATAAACATCTCAGCTTTCCCACTTCCTGCATAGTCAGCTCATTCTTTCACCTCTTCTCAATAAGAATCATCAGTCTCCTCTAGGTTCCCCGTGCCCCGCAGCTTTTAAAACCAATAGAAAATGTTTTAAAGGAAGGGTGAAGTCTTTGGCACCATAAAAATTGTAGAGAATTTCTGAACAGGAGTCTCTATAGTCTTTAGAGAAGATAACATATAATGAGATTATTCCACTCGTTTAAGACCCAGTCTTAAACTTCTTAAGCCTGTATGTCTCTTTCTCTCTTTCTCTGGTAGTACTGGGGTTGAAATCAGGACCTCTTGCTTGGTGCTATACTACTTGAGCCACACCTCCAGCCAGCCCTTTATTGTACTGTTTTGTTTTTGTTTTTTTGAGCTAGAAGCTTCTCCCTTTCTGCATATGCTCGCTTGGGCTACGTTCAGTTCCTTGTGCTTCCTCAAGTCACCAAGAGAATATAACAGATGTATGCTGCCCCACCCACCATTGGCTGAGATGGAGTCTTGAGAACTTCTTTTCCCCAAAACTGGCCTTGAACCATGATCCTACCATTGTTTCTGCTTCCCAAATAGCTAGGGCTATAGGCTTGAGCCACTGTGCCCAACTAAACTTCTCTCTCTCTCTTTCTCTCTCTTTGCCAGTCCTGCAGCTTGAACTCAGGATCTGGCACTGTCCCTGAGCTTCTATTACTCAAGACTAGCACTCTACCACTTGAGCCACAGCACCACTTCAGCTTTTTCTGTTTATGTGGTACTGAGTAATCAACCCCAGGGCTTCATGCGTGCTAGGCAAGCACTCTATAACTAAGCCACATTCCCAGCCTCCAGCTAAGCTTCTCTTAACTTATTCTTTCTACCTCAGTTTGTTGTGATTAAGTATGGGGGAGCAATCCTAAACCTATTATTACCTTCAAGAGGATAGAAAAGACCACTGTTTTTGCTAGACTAAGGTCTGGAGTATTTATACAGAATACCTCCTGGAAGCTGATCTCATGTTCCTTACACCTGCCTATTTGAACCTGCTAATGCCCTTTTGCTCACATTTCTAATATAATGAAGCTCTTGATTAGAAAAAAGTTCTATTTCTAAGCTTTCTGAGAGAAGTGTGTATAACTTTGGATAGGAGATTCTATTATTCTATTCTGATAGAATCCTGGCTGGGGAACAAAAATTCTCTTTCCACATAACCATTGAATGAATACATGACATTAAACGCACTGCCAGCTTATAATTCCCCAAGCACTTCTCTTCAGGTAGTCACAGTCAACAGCAGCAGCAAAATGGAGACGTTTCATAAAGTGAGAAGAAAGAGACAATTTAATTTTAATTTTCTAATTCAAGCCAGATATGTTTATGCATAATACCACTGTATCTTTTTAGTGTTTGCACTTACAATACAATGTCTTGATTTTTTTGTTATTTGTATATTAAATATTTTTATTTGGCAAAATATTATCATATTCTCTTTAATTGATTCATTTAAGATCAAAAATCACAGCAAAACTTAATAATCTTGAGATGAATAAGGCATCAGTTAACTGCTTAAACAAGCACAGACAAGGCTGGTGCTGCCTTCCAATGTCCTCTAAACTTTAGACAACTTACAATGCTTCTCTTTTGCAGGTTGGACCAGGTGGTGATTCACGTAGGGGCACTGAGCTTGAAGGAGTCACAAGAACTGGTATGTAGACCCATCTGAGAGCCATGACTCAGGGGACCTCCATTTTTCTGCTGAAATTAGTATTGTCATGGATATATTTGGTATGTAGGCAATGCTGACTAGAGGAGGTGTGGGACCTCAGGAAATCACCATTGACAAGCAGAAAGCAAAGTGGTGACCCCTGCAGATCAGGAGACCTTCCCCCAAGATGCAGCTGAGTTTGTAGATAAAGAGCAGAATTTGAGCCAACTTCTGTTTTCTTTCTGAGGTAGAAAGCAAAAGCGCTCTGCTGGACAGAAGGGATTGGAAGTAAGGGAAAGAAGTCATTGGTAATTGCTGCCTTAAAGCAGGGGAAGAAAGTTGAATTACAGCAGAATTGTTCGATGAAGCTACAAACCAATTGTTTTTTCTAGTTTTTTGTTTTTTTTTTTCCGCCAGTCATGGGGCCTGAACTCTGGGCCTGGGCACTGTCCCTCAGCTCTTCAGCTCAAGGCTAGCGCTCTACCACTGGAGCCACAGCGCCACTTCCAGCTTTTTTGCTTATGTGGTGCTGAGGAATCGAACCCAGGGCCTCATGCATGCAAGGCAAGCACTCTATCACTGAGCCACCTTCCCAGCCCCTGTTTTTTCTAGTTTTTAGTTAGAAATTTATCATCCCACCACTTGGCACCAAATTGGTAAACTTTCTCTAGATACACTGTACCTAGAACATAGGAGCAAGCACACAAATAATTAGATTACTCTAGGTTTAGGAATTGATTAGCAGGTTAGGTGGAGCAAAAGGCAAAGGCAGAAACAGTTAAAAGCCACTGGTTTTAAAGAAAAAATAAATGGGTACTGTAGTGTGGTCTTTCTTCTTCTACAGGCCCGACATGCTGCAGAAATAGGAGCCGATGGCATTGCTGTCATTGCACCTTTCTTTCTCAAGCCATGGAGCAAAGGTAAGAGCTGGCTCCAAGTGCACAGTGCCTCACACTGCCTGCTTCTTGCTTCCATTGAAAATATTGATGTTGGGGCTGGGAAGGTGGCTCAGTGGTAGAGCGTTTGCCTTGCATGCATGAGGCCCTGGGTTCGATTCCTCAGCACCACATAAGCAAAAAGAAAAAAAGCTGGAAGTGGTACTGTGGCTCAAGTGGTAGAGCTCTAGCCTTGAGCTGAAGAGCTGAGGGACAGCGCCCAGGCCCAGAGTTCAGGCCCCACGACCAGACTCCCCCCCAAAAAAAGAAAATATTAATGTTCAATTCATAAAGGACTAAGCTAGAGGCATGAAGGTTTTAAGACAGAGTGCATCCCTGGAATATTTGCTCTCCTAGATCCATAACAGAGATTGCATTAAATTAGCACTTCAATTCTTTTTGCCAGGTAATCTAACTGGATCATCTATGCAATTCAGATTGCCAGGTGCCTGTATTTGGGTCAGGTGTAGACTCCTGGTCTAATCAGTTACGTAGAGTTTCTGGGCCACATGTCAAAGGATGGAACTATGTTTCTTTAAAAAGAGAAATATATGATGATCATTTTGAAATTCCATGTCCTCTTTTTTTTTTTTTTCTTTTGTGCTAGTACTGGAGCTTGAACTCTGGAACTAAGCAATCTCCCTTAGCTTTTCTGCTCAAGGCTAGCAGTCTACCACTTGAGCCAAACCTCCACTTGTAGCTTTCTGTCTGTATACATAGTTAAAGCCTTTGCCAAGTGAATTTTTGCTTGAAATCATATTGCCTTCTGTTGATAGGAAATATTTAATGTAGGTAAGTGAAATATTGCTAATTTGGACATTTATAATGAAGACTTTAGCAATATTTTTCATATGGTTTTACAAATATTTTTCATGTGGTTTACAAACTTTTACATGAACAGTTTTTCTAAAATGCTTTTATTTTTTTGGTCAAGACCAGGACTCATACTCAGTACCTGATACTTTTGCACAGGCTAGTGCTCTACCAACTAAGCTCCAACCCTACTAAAACTTTTTTTTTCTTTTTTGTCCCGGGGCTTGAATTCAGAGTGTGGGCACTGTTTCTGAGCTTCTCATGCTCAACACTAGCGCTCTATCACTTGAGCCACAGTGCCACTTCTGGCCTTTTCTGAATAGTTTATTGGAGATGAGTCTCACAGACTTTCCTGCCCCAGCTGGCTTCAAACTGCAATCTTCAAATCTCAGCCTTCTGAGTAGGTAAGATGGCAGGCGTAGGGCTGGGAAGGTGGCTCAGCAGTAGAGTGCTTGCCTCACATGCATGAGGCCCTGGGTTCGATTCCTTAGCACCACATAAACATAAAAGGCTGGAAGTGGCACTGTGGCTCAAGTGGTGGAGCACTAGCCTTGAACTGAAGAGCTGAGGAACAGCGCCTAGGCCCAGCATTCAAGCCCCATGACTGACAAAAATAAATAAATAAATAAATAAAGATTGCAGGCATGAGCCTCTGGTGCCCAGCCTGCTAAAACTTTGTTTAAAAAGATCTTCAGGGATGGGAGTGTGGCTTGGTGTTAGAGTGTTTGCCTATCATGCATGAAACCCTAGGTTCAGTTCCTCAGTACCATGTAAACAGAAAAGGCTGGCAGTGGCATATGGCTCAAGAGGAAGAGTCCTAGCCTTGAGAGCCTTTTAGTGCATGATTTGTGTGTGTGTGTGTGTGTGTGTGTGTGTGTATATGTGTGTTTGTTGTTGTTGTTGTCATTGTTGTTGTTGGGATCAAACCCAGGACCTTGAGCAGACTAACTATGCACTTAACAATGACATATACCCCCACCAACAATTTTTAATAGTCTGCTACAGTAGGAAAATATTCACCTTATATAGATGTCTATAGCAAGAAAACCTCGTCTTCAAATGAAATGACTTTCAAAGACATTGTAGTGGCCATATGAGGGATGATAAGAGTGGTTACACTTTATTGGATGGTTTTCTTTTTTTAAGGAAAGCCACTATTTTATACACCTGGTCACACCATGACTTTTCCTTTTGTTCTTTCAGATGTCCTGGTTAATTTCCTAAAGGAGGTGGCTGCCAGTGCCCCTGAATTGCCATTTTATTACTATCATATTCCTGCCTTGACAGGGGTAAAGAGTAAGTGTTGCTTCTTCTAGTATTTGTTTCCAATTCTCATATTTCATATCTGTTTCACTAAGCAATCCCCACTCCATTTCACACTATCCCACAAACACACACCATGACAGACGCACACCATGACAGACGAGTTGGATTCTAGGCTCTTCTAGCAAACACCTGGCGTCCTTAGCTTCCATATGGGACTGCAAACCCCTTAGAAGCTGGGCTGTGTCTACTTTGCAGCTATGGAATTCTCAGTGTCTCTCACATAGGAAGTTACTGTGATCTCTTCTGACTCCTACATTCAGTAGGAGATATTTACAATTAGATGGCATTTCTTTCTTTCTTCCTTTATTTATTTATTGGTGATGCTAGGTAGCAAACCAAAAGCCTTATATATGCTAGACAAGTTCTCTGGCCCTAAGCTATATCCCCAGCCCAAGACTGTGCTTTATAAATTATCTGAGGAAAAAAAGGCTTTCTTACTGTCACATGTTTCATAAAACATTTCATCTCTGGTCACCAAAATCAAGATGTTGGATTGTGGTGGGGAAGGGATTTCTCTCTGCCAGCAACCAATTATATATTGGAAACTTGATTGTACAGTAATGCAACGCCATTGTGACACTATCTACCGGAAGACACCAGACCCGCCAGGTGAAGGCTTCAGTCCCCTGAGTCTGTACCCCTTCCACTGCTAGTCTCAAGTCCCGGCTTGGGACCTCCACTCTGACCAATGGCAAGTTGGGGTTTTCACAATCCCTTCCTCAGGTTTGATTAATTCACTAGAGCAGCTCATTGAACTCAGGGAAACACTTTACCGACTACTCCATTTTACTACCAAGTACACAGAAGAAGAGATGCATAGGTAGATGAGAAGGAATGTTGGGGCTTCCATGTTCTCTCTGGGTGTACCATGCGTTCAGCAACCAGAAACCTGAACCCTGTCCTTTAGAAGTTTTTTATTTTTATCTATTTGTCTATTTATTGTGCCAGTACTGAGACTTGAACTCAGAACCTAGGTACTATCCCTGAGATTTCTTCCTCAAAGCTAACACTCTGCCACTTGAGCCACAGTTCCAATTCCAGCCTTTTCTTTTTAATGCTTAATTGGAGATAAGAGTCTTACAGACTTTTTTGCTTGTGCTGGCTTTGAACCACAATTCTCAGATTTCAGCCTCCTAAATAGCTAGGATTACCAGTGTGGGCCACCAGTGCCTGGCTTAAGGGCTTGGATTTTGTTGTTGTTGTTGTTGTTGCTTCTTTTGTTTTTTGTTTTGTTTTTGGTCAGTCATTTGGCTTGAACTCAGAGCCTGGTTGCTTTCCCTGAGCTCTTTTGTTCAAGGCTAGTGCTTGCTCTACCAATTTGAGCCACAACTGCCCTTCAATTTTCTGGTGGTTAACTGGAAATAAGAGTCTCATGAACTTTTCTATCCAGGCTGGCTTTAAACTGCAAGTCTCAGATCTCAGCTTCCTGAGTAGCTAGGATTACAGGTGTGAGTTACTAGTGCCCGCCTCCTCTAGGGTTTTTGTGGGTTTGGGGTGGAGGAGAGTTGTTTTTGTTTTTATTATTTTTTTTTCTTTTTTTTTTTTTTTAAATTTAATTTAATTTTATTTGTGAACATACTGTACAGAGGAGTTACAGTTACATGGGCAGGATAATACGTACATTTCTTACCAAGCATTGCAGCCTCCTCCTTTGTTTATCCTTCACATCCCTTCCCAGCCTCCCCCCTCCCCCCCTTGTTTTTATTATTTTTGTTCGTTGTGGGGCTTGAACTCTGGGCCTGGACACTGTTCCTCATCTCTTCAGCTCAAGGTTAGCACTCTACCACTTGAGCTACAGCACCACTTCCAGTTTTCTGGTGATTTATTGGAGATAAGAGTCTCATGGAGAGCTGGGAAAGTGGCTCAGTGGTAGAATACTTGCCTTGCATGCATTAGGCTCTGGGTTCCATTCCTCAGCACCACATAAGCAGAACAAAATCCGAAAGTGGCGCTGTGGCTCAAGACGTAGAGTGCTAGCCTTTAGCTGAATTGCTGAGGGACAGCGTCAGCCCAGTGTTCAGGCTCCACAATCAGCAAAAAAAAAAAAAAAAAGGAGTTTCATGGATTTTCCTGCCCAGGCTGGCTTTGAATCTCGGTCCTCAGATCTCAGCCTCCTGAGTAGGTAGGATTATAGGCATGAGCTACCTGCTCCTGACTTCCTTCAGGGTTTAGAAAAACTTCATTGTATAGGCATCACAAATACCATCTAACATTTCCATTCCTCAAGGAATGGCAAGTTTAAGGTTATCATTTGACATGTACTTAGGGGCTACTACTGAAGGGCAGGAGATTATTCCATTGTCAGTCAATTCTGTTTGTTTGTTTGTTTTGGGGGTCCGGTTGTGGGGCCTGAACTCTGGGCCTGGGCGCTGTCCCTCAGCTCTTTAGCTCAAGGCTAGCACTCTACCACTTGAGCCACACCGCCACTTCCAGCTTTTTTCTTTTTGCTTATGTGGTGCTGAGGAATCGAGCCCAGGGCCTCAGGCATGCAAGGCAAGCGCTCTACCACTGAGCCACCTTCCCAGCCCCCTGGCAGTCAATTCTGGCAGACAGCGGCTATGGCAGCTCAGTGCTGATTCCAGGGTACATGTTTTCTGCTGCTGTGTGGGTTAATGAAGCATCCCGTTTTGAACAGTTCGTGCTGAGGAGTTGTTGGATGGGATTCAGGATAAGATCCCCACCTTCCAAGGGCTGAAATTCAGTGACACCGATCTCTTGGACTTCGGGCAGTGTGTTGATCAGAATCAGCAGCGACAGTTTGCTTTGCTCTTTGGGGTGGATGAGGTAAGTCACCCCATAGTGTTGTTCAGGTCTTTCCCTCCAGAGCAATTCATGGAGCTTTTTATATGATGGCATAAGAGTGAATGCTTTTTGTCTATTTCATATTAGCAACTGTTGAGTGGTCTGGTGATGGGAGCAACAGGAGCCGTGGGCAGGTAAGCATGACTCCTCTTTCCCAGGAAATACAAACTGAAATCTTCCATAAAGGCACCCAGTATATGTCTTGCATGTAGATCCTTTCTTCTAGAAGTGACCTGTTAGTCCTACATCCATTCAGTGGAAGAAAATTAAGTAGGACTTAGCAATGAACTATAAACTCAGTTGTTGTTATGTAGAAGTATCCATTGCAGGCATTGGTGAGACAGGTGAGCACGGTAAGTTGAGATATGCACAGAAGCTGTAACTCTACAGGACCTGCTCTTGGCTCTGCAGAGCCCTGTGATCTGTGTGTTAAGGATGGACCCATGCTGGCTTTGTCAGAAATTTGGCTACAATAACAGAAATCCATGCAAAGGGGGCTGGGAAGGTGGTTCAGTGGTAGAGCGCATGCCTTGCATGCCCAAGGCCCTGGGTTCGATTCCTCAGCACCACATAAGCAAAAAGAAAAAAGCCAGAAGTGGTGCTGTGGCTCAAGTGGTAGAGCGCTAGCCTTGAGCTGAAGAGCTGAGGGACAGCGCCCAGACCCAGAGTTCAGGCCCCATGACCAGACCCCAAAAAACAAACAAACAAAAGAAATCCATGCAAAGTAGCTTATGTAAAAGACAGTACATTATAAAATACCAGAAAATGGAGCCAAGTGCCAGTGGCTTGTGCCTTTAATCATAACTACTCAGAATGCTGAGCTCTGAGAACTGCAGTTCAAAGCCAGCCCAGATAGACAAGTACAAGACTTATTTCCAATTGACCACCAAAAAGCTGGAACTAGACAGCAGTTGTGAGTGAAAAAGCTTAGCAAGAAGCCAGGCACTGGTGGCTCACGCCTATAATCCTAGCTACTCAGGAGGTTGAGATCTGAGAATCACGTTTCAAAGCCAGCCAGGGCAGGGAAGTCTGTGAGACTTTTATCTTCAATAAATGACTCAGAAAAAGCCTGAAGTGGCACTGTAGCTCAAGTGGTAGAGCATTGAGCTTGAGTCCTTGAGCCCAAAGAGGCTCAGAGACAGTGCCCAGGCCCTGAGTTTTAGCCCCAGGACCAGCAAAAAAAAAAACTTAGGGACAGCTCAAGACCCGAAGTTGAAGCTACGGTACAGCACAAAATAAATAAAACAGCATAAAACCCAAGAGGAAGAATACAAACTGACTACATAGAGGATAAATGCCAGGACCAACAAAGGACCAGCCAAGGCAAGTCATCCTCCACCTGCTCTTCCAGGAACTCTCTGTCTCTGTCTCTGTCTTTCTCTTTCTCTCTTACTCTACCTCTTTCCCTCTCTCTTCTCTTTCCCTTTCCTGATCCTGGGGCTTGAACTCAGGATCTAGGCACTGTGCCTGAGCTTTTTTTTGTTCAAGGCTAGGGCTCTACCACTTGAACCACAGCTCCACTTTCAGTTTGTTTGTTTCTTAATTCGATTTCCTGCCCCAGCTGGGTCTGAACTGCAATCCTCAGATCATAGTCTCTTGAGTAGCTAGGATTACAAGCATGAAGGCTGTATATGTCCTTTGTGGTTTTTAGATAGCAGAAAGTTGTGTAAGGCTGGACCTTTCCCATTGAGTTATTGAACCTGTAATATTTACTGTTGTCTTGTAGTACCTATAACTACCTGGGAAAAAAGACAAACCAGATGTTGGAGGCTTTTGAAAGGAAGGACTTCTCTTCAGCACTGAACTATCAGGTAAACCTTGTCTTCTCTTCACATAAATCCAGCCTTTTTCCTTCCCACCTTGAGGGTCCTTCCTCCCCTCTTTCATCAGCATTCCTACCACATCTTCCTTCATTAATCTGCTTCTAGTTGCCTTTTCTTAGTGTTTCTTACTTTATCTTCTTTAGAATGGGACCTGTCCTCATTATCTGTGTCCCCTATGGGTTCCACACAGGAATGACTAGAAAGGATCTTAATTATCTACCTGTAGGGGCTGGGAAGGTGGCTCAGTGGTAGAGCGCTTGCCTTGCATGCATGAGGCCCTGGGTTCGATTCCTCTGCACCACATAAGCAAAAAGAAAAAAGCTGGAAGTGGCGCTGTGGCTCAAGGGGTAGAGCTCTAGCCTTGAGCTGAAGAGCTGAGGGACAGCGCCCAGGCCCAGAGTTCAGACCCCACAACCGGACCCAAAAAAAAATTATCTACTTGTAATCCTAGGTATGGGAGGCAGAGGTTAAGAGTATTGAAATCTGAGGCTGGCCTCAACAAAAAGAGTAAGACCTTATATGAAAAATAACCAAAGCATGGCCAGGTACTGGTGGCTCTTGCCTATAATTCTAGCTACTCAGGAGGCTGAGATCTGAGGATTGCGGTTCAAAGCCAGCCCGGGCAGGAAAAAAATCCGTGAGCTGCTTATCTCCAATAAACCACCAGAAAACCGGAAGTGGTGCTGTGGCTCAAGTGGTAGAATGCTAGCCTTGAGCTAAAGAGTTGAAAGACAGCGCCCAGGGGCTGGGAAGGTAGCTCAGCGGTAGAGTGCATGCCTTGCAAACATGAGGCCCTGGCTTCGATTCCTCAGCACCACATAAACAGAAAACGCCGGAAGTGGCACTGTGGCTCCAGTGGTAGAGCTCTAGCCTTGAGCTGAAGAGCTGAGGACAGCACCCAGACCCAGAGTTCTGAGTTCAATCCCTAGTACATAAAAAAAGAAAAGTAAAATGCAATTTTACTTTTGAGAGGTAGGACTCATTTTTTTACATCACCTTGTTCATGGGGGTCAATGCTTTATTGACTTGATACTTATGAATCAGAGGGGGGGGCGAGGAGTGGAACACAGGCCTCCAGACAGCTTTGTTACTGCACAACAGAGGCTCTATGCTAAGGGTAGCATAATGGAGCTGCTGGTTCTAGCTATGGGAGAGGCTTTGGACCCTCCAATGCCTTTGTACACCACAGCATCCTCTGAGTTCAGACCCTCACCACGCAAGATAGGGCAGTAACCCAGGTTCTTCGGCCCCTGCCAGTCTAAGAATAAAAAGGTGCCTAACCTTACTCCCTCCCCTTTTTGGGGGGATGCTAAGATAGATCAGGGAAAGGGGAGATGTCCTATTTATAGAGGTCCCTGAGTGCCGGCGCTGGTGGCTCAAGCCTGTAATCCTAGCTACTCAGGAGGCTGAGATCTGAAGATTGCAGTTCAAAGCTAGCCCGGGCAGGAAACTCCATGAGACTCTTATCTCCAATAAACCACTTGAAAACCGGAAGTGGCACTGTGGCTCTAGCGGTAGAGCACTTGCCTTGAGCTAAAGAGCTGAGGGACAGCGCCCAGGCCCAGAGTTCAAGCCCCACGTCCAACAACAACAACAAAAATAGAAGTCCTTGGGCATCCTGGATCCAAGTGGAGGAAAACAAAGTTAGGGACAGCAATAGGAGTCCCAGCAAAGAAGAGCTAAGGTTATTGCTTTCCCTCTATTTTCTATTTTGGCTGAGCAAAAAACCTGAGCATGTTTATTGTATTAGGCCCACAATAGCCGATGCAGACTGAGGTCATACGGTAAGGAGATGCGGGGTACAGCCAGGCTCCCCATGCAGGAATGCACCAGTATCTGGGAGTCATAAGGAGGAATAAATCCTTGTAGTCACAGGGCTATAGCCTTCATCGAAGAGAAGGGACAGGTCAGAGGTGGGTTCCAGAGTAACCTAGGTCACAAAGGGCAGAATAAAACAATGGCATCTTCAATTTACAATCCCAGCTCCTCTGGGCTTTTCTGGGCTTTTCTTTTTCCCCACTGCCCAGCAGCTCTAGTCAACAGCACCATCTCCTGGGAAGGCAGAGCACCAACTCTAGTAGCTTATCGCCTAGCGTGTAATGTAGTAGAAGCTCCAGGAAACACCACTGGCCAGAATGTGTTCAGGTTCCACATTAAAACTCTTTATGATTTTTGTTATTAAAGAAGTAAGTGCTCTGAAATCTTATCATATGAATTCATAGGTAATGTAAAAAAAAAAACCTAGTACAACAGTATCACTCAATTCTTTGAACATTTTTTGAGTCATATGCCAAAAATCATAGAATGTTTGATCTTTGATTTCAGCTTTCAACCCAAGGAGCAATGTTGAACGCAAATAATTGAGAACTGAGGGGTGGGGGGTTGTTTGTTGTTTGTTTGTTTTGCTGATCCTGGAGCTTGAAATCAGGGCCTGGGCTCTGTCCCTGAGCCTCTTAGTACTCATTACTAACACTTTACCATTTGAGTAACAGTGCCACTTCCAGCTTTTTCTGAGTAGTTTGTTGGCGATAAGTCTCCTGGATTGCCCCAGCTGGCTCAGCCTCCTGAGTAGTGAGGATTACAGGCGTGAGCCTGGCTTGATTTGTTTTCTTCTTTTCTTTTATTGTTATTATAGAGGTAGTATACAGAGAAGTTAGAGTTACATAAGTCTGGTAAAGAGTGCATTTCTTTTTGGACAGTGTTAGCCCTTCCCTTACTCCCAGTTTTTCCCTCTCATTCCCACCCACAAGTTGTATTGTTCATTTCAATGTCGTGTCTAGTGAGTACCACTGCTGCATTTGTGAGAACTCTGATTTTCAAGTGGACTTGCTATCCATTAATTAGAGGAATCATTCTTATCTATCTCTCCCTTTATCAATATAAACTGTGTGTGACGGAATCCAAGGTCTCACCCATGCTAGATGACCAAGTGAGCAAACATCCCCAGCCCTGTTTACCCCAGTTTGAAAGGCTAGCACTCTACTACTTGAGCCACAGCTTTTTTGGTAGGTAATTACAGATAAAAGCCTTTCCTGCCTAGGCTAGCTTCAAATCATGATCCTCAGATCTCAGCCTCTTGAATAGCTAGGATTACAGATGTGAGCCACCTGCTCCAAGCTTTACTTGATTGTTTTTCCCCATTCTAATAAACCTTCAGAAAACCAAGGTATTAACTGAAAATGTCTCATAGTTTTTTAATTTGACTGCTAAATTAGATAAACTGTTTTTTCAATTGGGTAAGATTGACTACAGATTTCTTAATTCCTTTCTAGTTTTGCATCCAGAGATTTATCAACTTTGTAATCAAACTAGGTAAGTGCCACATCTGATTCCTGCTTTGCTGATGGCCAGGTGTAAAGGAAATGGAATTCCAGCCTTTAGAGAAAGAAGTGTATTCAACAATAACATTTTTTGTGTGGGGGAGGGGTTAGAGGTGGTTGCTGTGGCTTGAACTCAGGGCCTGGGCACTAGCTCAAGCTCTTTGCTCAAGGATAAGACTCTACCACTTAAGCTACAGCTTCACTGCCACCTATTTGCTAGTTAATTGGAGATATATGAGTCTCATGGACTTTCCTGCCCAGGATGGCTTTGAATTTTGATCCTCAGTTCTCACCCACCTGAAAAGGTAGAATTACAAGCATGTGCCACTGGCACCCAGCAAGAACATCTCTAAGTGCTATGTTGCAGGCAGAGTTTCTCTCTCTCTCTCTCTCTCTCTCTCTCTCTCTCTCTCTCTCTTTCTTTCCTTTTTCTTTTTTTCTTTTTTTTTTTTTTTAATGTAGGTTTGGGGGCTTGCACTAAGGGCCTGGGTGCTGTCCCTGAGTTTTTGTGCTCAAGGCTAACACTTTACCACTTTGAACCACAGCTCCACTTCTGGTTTTCTGGTGGTTAATCAGAGATAGGAGTATCACAGACTTTCCTGCCCAAGCTGGCTTTGAACTGTGATCCTTAAATCTCAGCTTCCTAAGTAGCTAAAATTACAGGCGTGAGCCACCAGTGTCCAGCCCAGAGTTCTGTTTCTAATACTAACCCTAAGGGGCAACTGTATGACACGTAAGCTAGGCTGAAAGATCTTTACCAATCTTGTTTAAATCTCTGTCCTCCATTTTAGCTTTCAGCTTCCCCCCACAGCCACCCCCCATTCCCTGTTCTTTCTCCTTTTGTGTTAGCATTCCCTCCCTGGATTTGTTTCTGCTCATTGAAATTCTACCACTGAACTGTGATTTTGACCGAACTATTTCAAGGAAAATACTTTGAATATACATCTTACTAAATTGTGAATGACTGACAGCTCTCCCAAGAGTATGAAAGTTTATTAACACAAGTATTCTTAAGATAGATAGAGGTTTGGATAATATGACAGGAAATCTGGGGGGAAATACAGTGAATTAAGTAGAAAAACTTCTCCAGAATGTCCTATTCCACAATGAATGAGAAATTCTACCTATCATTCACTCTGTTTCTTTCTTTTTTTTTTTTTTGTGGGGGTCCGGTCGTGGGGCCTGAACTCTAGGCCTGGGCACTGTCCCTCAGCTCTTCAGATCAAGGCTAGCACTCTACCACTTGAGCACCACTTCCGGCTTTTTTCTTTTTGCTTATGTGGTGCTGAGGAATCGAACCCAGGGCCTCAAGCATGCAAGGCAAACGCTCTACCACTGAGCTACCTTCCCAGCCCCATTCACTCTGTTTCTACAACAGATAGGTCTTTGGGCCAAGTGAACCTGGGTCAAGTTTAGGAAAAGTTGCCAACTCCCATTAAAGGCCTTTCTGCCTCATCCTGAGTACTACTAAAGCATCTATCATGTTTCTTGCTCCTTATTCCAGCAGAACTCTAAACTAGCTCTCTCAATCCTTCCAGATAGTATTTCCATCTGTGAAAATCTCCTTAGATGTGAATCTTGTCATCTCTGCATTTCCCAGCTCTCATGCTGCCTTTTCCTCCTGTGCTTTGTACAGTAGATCCATGGTGACCACAGGTATATGTTTCCACAGAAAAAACTGAATGCTCAACATGGTTACACTTCAGGATTCTAAAATTTACTTTTAGGGGTGGGAAGTTGGCTCAGTGGTAGAGCGCTTGCCTTGCATGCTTGAAGCCCTGGGTTCGATTCCTCAGCACCACATAAGCAAAAAAAGAAAAAAGAAAGAAAGTAAAATTCACTTTTACCTATACCATATATAGAGAAGATGTGAGAATTCATACCTTGAAATTGCATGGAGTAGACTCAATGTCTGTCCTCAAAATTACTGCTCTATATATGAATACTGCTCACCAGAAACTAGATCTTATTTGATGTTTGTTTTTTATTTTTTATTTTTCTTTTTGCTGGTCCTGAGGCTTGAATTCTAGGCCTGGGCTCTGTCCCTGAGCTTCTCTTGCTCAAGGCTAGCTAGCACTCTACCCCTTGAGCCACATTACCACTTCCACTTTTTCTGAGTAGTTTATTGGAGATCAAAGTCTCACAGGACTTTCCTGCCTGGGCTGGCTTTGAACCTTGATCCTCAGCCTCCTGAGTAACTAGGATTACAGGCACAAGCCACCAGCGCCCAGCTTTCATGCTTTTTTATTTCAAATACCTAGATGCTTCATTCACTTTACCTCAAACACCTTCCAACATCAATTAAAGACATACAGCCTTTCAACAAACATAAAATTTTCGGGGCTGGGAAGGTGGCTCAGTGGTAGAGTGCTTGCCTTGCATGCCTGAAGCCCTGGGTTCAATTCCTCAGCACCACATAAGCAGAAAAAGCCCGAAGTGGTGCTATAGCTCAAGTAGTCGAGCACTAGCCTTAAGCTGAAGAGCTGAGGGATAGCGCCCAGGCTCAGAGTTCATGCCCATGACTGACAAAAAAAAAAATACTAAAATTTTCATAATATCAATTAAACACCTTACACACCGTTGGTAGGATTGCCATTAACTTTTATCTTGCTTTGGGGGCATATGACCTTTGTTGCCATATGACCTATTATTCTTTGAGATGTTTGCAGGGAAATAAAGTTTTCTCACTTGTTTTTCCTGTTTAGGATTTGGAGTGTCACAGACTAAAGCCATCATGAGTCTAGTCTCTGGAATTCCAATGGGCCCACCCCGGCTTCCACTGCAGAAGGCCACCAGGGAGTTCACTGATCATGCTGAAGCTAAACTGAAGAGCCTGGATTTCCTTTCGTTCACTGGTTTAAAGGATGGAAACTTGGAAGCTTGCAGCTAGTGTCTCTCTGTCCATGAACATGAGAATATTGAGGCCTAATTACTGTGGAAAGCATATTCTTTACTCAGGGACTTTTTAGATGAACTAAACCTCTTATCCGATGAAATCTCACATCAGTCAATAAGTTTTTAAATCTCTGTTTTGAGCCTAACATATTTTATATTGTGAATAGGAGGGGGAAATCTCTAAAAGGAGTCAGGAGCCCTAAGTCATTCATTTTACAAAATTTTGGAGAGAATTTTCAGTTTGTATGGCTAAAAGGGAATCCAGGAGAAAACTGTAATTAATTTAGTTTCATCTGCCTTTGGGAGCTCCCATTATCTTGATGACTAATTCTTATTATTTTAAAGTTCTCTAATTTTAAACTACTCTCACATAGTTTGGTTTTAATAGATATTCATTTGGCATCTAGGAACACTCTGAGCTGTTGCAGTTCGGCAAGCAGTTTAATACTAAATTCAAAATGGTCCAACTCTACATACCATCTCACTTGGCTCCTGAGCTGTCTTCATCACCACTGCACAGCTCTGCTTTCAGAATAAGTTTGTACTGTTTACCCTCCAATGACTGGGCCAGGTGAGAACTTGCTTCAGTTCCTCCAAAGGGACTTGTCGGGTGATGCTATGGTTCAGAGGTAGTTTGTTGCCCCAAGGATTCATCTGTGGAAAACTTAGTTCTCAGTGTGATGATACAGAAGATGATAGAGCCTTTAAGAGATGGGACCTGCTAAGAGGTGCTTAAGTCATGAGGACAGCCCTTCAGATGTACTGCTGCTCTCCTTCAGGAGTTTTCTAAGACTAAGTTGTTCAAACAGCTTGAGTTGACTCATCAGTTTTCACTGACTTTCTGACTGGGATGCGATCTCTCCACTCACCTATGTTCCTGCCACATGACACCATCCACTATGAAGTTTCACCGGAGCCCAGCAGAAAATGGTGCCATACCACTGAAGCTCTAGAACTATGAGCTAAATAAACCTCTTTTCTTTATAAAGGTACTTGGCCTTGGGTATTTTGTGATAGTGGTAAAACACTAAACTTAGACTAGGGTGAAGGTCACCGGTGGCTCATGCCTGTAATCCTAGCTACAAAGGAGGCTGAGATCCGAGGATAACAGTTCAAAGCCAGCCTGGGTAGGAAGGGCTGTAAAACTCTTATCTCCAACAAACCACCAGAAAACAAGAAGTAGGGCTGTGGCTCAAGTGGTAGACTGCTAGCCTTGAGCTGAAGAGCTAAGGGACAGGCCTAGAGTTCAAGCCCATAACTGACCAAAAAAATAAAAAAATTCTCTCAATGTGTTTCAGAGTCAGACCAGAAAAACATTTGAAGCCTAGCCAGGTGGCTGTAGCTCACACCTGAAATCCTAGCTACTCAGGAGGCTGGGATCTGAGGATCAAGTTTCAAAGCCAGCCCAGCCATAAAATTCCCTGAGACTCTTTTTTTTTTTTTTTTTGTCAGTTGGGGGCCTGAACTCTGGGACTGGGTACTGTCCCTCAGCTCTTCAGCTCAAGACTAGCACCCTACCACTTGAGCCACAGCACCACTTACAGCTTTTTCTGCTTATGTGGTGCTAAGGAATTGAAACCAGGGCCTCATGCATGCCAGACAACCATTCTACCACTGAGCCACCTTCCCAGCCCCATGAGAGACTTATCTCCAATAAAACACCAGAAAACAGGAAGTGGCTCAAGTGGTATAGTGCTAGCCTTAAGCTGAACAGCTGAAGGACAGCACCCAGGCCCAGAGTTCAAGCCCCATGACCAACCAAAAATAAATAAATCCTTGCTAAAACTTTCACCTTATGAGACTCCTTTTCTTGAGACACCCTGAATGGTTCTCATGAATGGATTTAAATAAAGGACCTGTGATATTACATAGAAATGATAAGCTGAGGGAACACATTTATCTCTTCTCTGGTGGAAATGCCTTGCTTTTTTAACTGTATTGTCAACTTGGCAAGTGCAGTGCTATTACAGAGGGGGCTTTGTTTGTTCTTAGTAGGTCTGGGGCTTTGAACTCTAGTCTCAAGCTTGCTAGGCTTGCCCTCTACCACATGAGCCACACACCCCCATCCCAGAATGAAATGCTTACCTAAATCTGGAATTCCCGTGGCTAGGGCACATACACCACCAGGAAACATTTGAGTTTTGAGAAGCGTTTTGCTGTTTCCCAGTTCACTCCATGTGTTTACAACCAGGTCCTAGGTCGACTCATAAAGGGGTTTTGTTAATATCCTAAAGCCGGAGACAAATCATGTAGAATCCAGCTATTCCCAGATTGTTTGAGCTGTTTCTTTGTGGTAGCCCTAATTTGAAGAAGTCTTTTCTAAGAAGGGTTTGTTCCCTGAAGTTATAAGGTAATATATAGATATTTTACCTTTTGTTGACATTTTTTTCTTTCTAGTTTGTTTTGTTTTGTTTTGTTTGCTTTTCTGTTTTGCAGCTTCATGCAATCCCATTTGTCCAACCTTTCTTTGATTTGTTATATTTCTGAGACCACACATTTTTAAGGATCTTAATTCCCTTGCTAAGGTATCTCCAGTTTTGGGGAAGTTTGTTCATTGTTTTTTGTTTTGTTTTGCTTTGCTTATGTGGTACTGAGGAATCGAAGCCAGGGCCTCATGCATGCAAGGCAAGCGCTCTACCACTGAGCCACCTTCCCAGTCCTGTTCATTGGTTTTTGTTTTGTTTTGGTGACTTTCCTGGGGCTTGAATTCAGGCTTGGGTGCTGTCCCTGAGTTGTTTTTCTTTTTTGGGGGGTGGCTTTTTTGTTTTTGCTATTGTTTTTTTGTTTTGTCTGTGTATTTTTTTTTTTTTGCCAGTCCTGGAGCTTGAACTCTGCATTCTGGGCCTGGGCACTATCCCTGAGCTTCTTTTGCTCAAGGCTAGCACTTGAGCCTAAGCACCACTTTTGGCTTTTTCTGTGTATGTGGTACTGAGGAATCAAACCTAGGGCTTCATGCATGTGAGGCAAGCACTCCACCACTAAGCCACATTCCCAGCCCTGTCCCTAAGTTTTTTGCTCAAGACTAGTACTTAAATGATAGTTCTACTTCTGTTTTTTTGGAGGTTAATTGGAGCCAATAGTCTTGCACATTTTTCTGCTTGGGCTGGCTTTAATCTGTGATCCTCAAATCTCAGCCATCTTTTTTTTTCTTTCTTTTTTTTTTTTTTGCTGGTTGTGAGGCCTGAACTCTGAGTCTGGGCACTGTCCCTCAGCTCTTCAGCTCAAGGCTAGCACTCTACCACTGGAGTCACAGCACCAACCACCTTCCCAGTCCCCCATCTTTTATTTTTATGTTTAATTTTTGTTGGTCGTGAGGGGAGAACTCAGGGTCCAGGCACTGTCCCTGAGCTCTTTCTGCTCAAAGCTAGTGATCTACCACTTTCACCTACAGCTCCACTTCTGGTTTTCTGGTGGTTAATTGGAGATGAGTCTCATGGACTTTCTTGCCCAGGCTTGGCTTTGAACCTGGTTCCTCAGAGCTCAACCTCCTAAGTAGGTAGGATTACAGGAGGTAATCCTGCTTGCTTGTTGTTTTTTTTTTTAATGTTTTTATTGTAAAAATAGTATACGGAGGGGTTGCTTGTTTTTTTTTTAACTTTTTTTTTTCTTTTTGACAGTCCTGGGGCTTGAACTCAGGGCAGTGTCTCTGAGATTCTTTTGCTCAAGGCTAGCACTTTACCACTTGAGCTAGCACCACTTCCAACTTTTTCTGTGTATGTGGTACTGTGGAATCAAACTCAGGACTTCATACATGCTAGGCAAGCACTCTACCACTAAGCCATCTTCCAGCCCCCCCCCCCTTTTTTTTTAATGCAATAAGTTTAAACTTGACAAACTGAAGTGTAAGAAAACAAAGTCTCCTTGGTTACCTCTAGTATGAATTAGACTCAAATTTGTTATTGTAAGGTCACCCTAGGAAGGTAGGACAGATTCCTCCCTTCTCTTAGCTAAGTCTCCACCCAGTACCTGCATTGCCTAGGCAACCGGCATATTTGCATCCGCTGAGGTCACAGCTGAATCTGCTGAGGTCACATCTGGATCCGATTTGGCCACACCCTTCTCCCACCTGGCCACACCTCCCCTTACCTAGTCACACCTCCCTCTACCTGGCCACACCTCTCCCAACCCCTACCCTAGAAAAGATGTGGCCCAAAGGCAAGGTACCTTTTTCCCAGCTGGGAGCAGGACTGACTTAACCTGGGGCAGCCTGCAGTTCCGGAATAAACCTTTTTTTTTTTTTTTTTGGTCAGTCCTTGGTAGAGCGCTAGCCATGAGCAAAAGAAGCTCAGGGACAGTGCCCAAGTCCTGAGTTCAAGCCCCACAACTGGCTTGAACCAGGACTTGGGCACCAAAAATAGTAAATAAATAAATAAGGAATGAAGGAATAAATAAATAAGGAATTTACTGTATGACCTGGGCTTTGGTAGCTCACCCTTGTAATCCTAGCCACTTGGGATACTTGAGATCTGAGACAGCATCTTGGGCAGGAAAGTCCATGCAACTCCTGTCTCCAATTAACGAGGAAAAAGCCAGATGTGACTAGTGACTCATGCCTATAATCCTAGCTACTCAGGAGGTTGAGATCTGAGCACCATGTTTCTAAGCCAGCTCAGGCAGGAAAATTTGTGAGACTCTTACCTCCAATAAACTACTCAGAAAAATGGGCTGGGAAGGTGGCTCAGTGGTAGAGCACTTGCCTTGCATACATGAGGCCCTGGGTTCGATTCCTCAGCACCACATAAGCAGGAAAAAAAAAAAAGCCAGAAGTGGTGCTATGGCTCAAGTGGTAGCACGCTAGCCTTGAGCTGAAGAGCTGAGGGACAGCACCCAGGCCCAGAGTTTAAGCCCCACAACTGGACCAAAAAAAAAAAAAAAACTACAGTAGTAACACTGTGGCTCAAGTAGCATAGCACTAGTTTAGAGCACAAAGGGGCTCAAGGACTGAGCCCAGGCCCTGAGTTCAAGTCCCAGGACTGGCCAAAAAAAAAAGCGAGAAGTAGAGGTTGACTAAAGCCTTCAGCATAAGCCAAGGACAGCGCAAGGCCCTGAGTTCGAGTCCCAATAAGAACCAGTATTAGCCGGGTACTGGTGGGTCACACCTGTAATCCTGCTACTAAGGTGGCTGAGATCTGAGGATCCCAGTTCACAGCCAGCCTGGGCAGGAAAGTCTATGATATTCTTAGCTCTAATTAGCCACCAGAAAACTGGAAGTGGCGCTGTGGCTCAAGTGGTAGAGTGCTGGCCTTGAGCTGAAGAGCTCAGGAACAGTGCCCAGGCCCAGAGTTCAAGCCCCAGGACTGACAAAAGAAAAAGGAAAAGAACCAGTCTTCCTAACCTCTTGGCTTTAATTACTTCTGAAAGAGCAGGCAGAAGTGGAGAATTATTTTCTCTTGATAGGTGATTTCATATCTGAAAACTAAATTTGAGTGTCATGTGGATTGGATTAAGAATTGCCTAATAGATTAGTAAGACACGCTGCTGGGGGGTGTCTGTGATAGCATTTCCAGAGACAATTAGATTCTGAGGGCTCTGACCTAATGAATGGTTTAATGTACTGATGGGTTCAAAGTTCAAATAGAGGCATGACACCAATAGCTCATGCCTGTGATCCTAGCTACTCAGGAGGTTATGATCTGAGGATTGAGGTTTAAAGTCATCCTGGGCAGATATATCCAAGGAACAAATCCACCTAACCAGCAAAAATCCATAGGGTGGAGTGTGACTCAAGTGGTAGAACAACATTCATGAGCAAAAAAGCTAAGCAAGAGCCAACATCAGTTGATCACAATTGTAATCCTAACTAGTCAGGAAGCTGAAATCTGAGGATCAAGGTTCAAAGCCAGCCTAGGTATGAAAGTCTATGAGACTCATCTCCAGTTTATAAGAATCATCATCAAAAAAGTTCAAGTGGTAGCTTTGAGAAAAGGGAATGTAGTTGGGGGTAGTCTCTGATGAGGTTTGCAGTTGAGCTATTGGCCTAGGTTCACTTATC